GTACAGAGCAAACTTCCTTTCTCTTTTCTCTGCGCCTGTGTCCAAGGAGACTTGGTTCTGACTTCCGCAGAGCTGCGAGTGCGCTGGGTAAGCGAGGAGCCTTGGCGCCGCACCTGGCGGGAGCCGAGCACTCAGTTTCCGACACTCGGGCCCGGGCTGCGCGCTACCGGCGAGGCATGCGGTAGTAAAGGGCCAAACTAGTTAAAACTCTTCGCCGAGCTGCTTTCTAAAAGATGCCTGCTGCTCCTTCTACGTCGGCATCCACTCGGGCTTGCTTGGCTGAGACTCTCGGGTTCCGCATGGGGGCAGAGGCCCGAACCTGGCGCGTTCTAACGTCCCTGAGTCTGTGATGTGCCCCGCGCAGCGGCGCCGCCTCTGGTCGAGATGTGTGGGCGGCGACAGGTCTCGCGGGGTCCCGCAGAGTGGCGGTCTGCGCGGTGATACAGCACTGGGGTCACGGTAAACTTTGCTGTCCTGGGGCTTGGGCTAAGTGGGGCACGTGAACTAGGTGGGAGGATTTAAGTGGAGTGGAATCTAACTGTCGTGCCCTCCTCAGCTCGTGCGCACCCACGTGCTTACGCAATTCTCCGCGTTCTCCTCACCCCCCAACACACTCTCCGTAGGCCCCAAACCACCTACGAAAAGATCTCTCACCACTAGTCTGCAGGGTCCAGGATGGCTAGCACTTCACCAACAAGAAAAGTTTCCACCTCAAGGGCGAGAGTTTGATGAAATAGCCAAATGGAGATTTGTGTGGGATGAACCAGGTTGGGCTGGGCCCACGGGATTGGCTGGAATGGGCGGGTCTTTTTGTTTGTCCTGCTCTAGGAAGGTTTCTGCGGAATGTTACCCTTTGACCTTACTACACAGTGTTCTGAGGAAATGGGTATCTGTGAACGCAATCCAGAAAGTGATAATTACCTAGCATGTCAATAAACCATATATATTTTTTTTCTGGATAAGTGTGAGATAAATCCTGGAATAAATTAAAGAGAACCTTTCATCAGTCTTGGAATGACCCATTCCAGGACTGCTCTGGGGTCCTAGGACTGGTACAAAAGGGTTAAGGTATTTGACAGCCCAAAGGATACAGGTTTGAGTCCACCAGAGGTGCTGGGAAGAAACGCCTGGCAATCAACTTCCCCCAAAATCAATGACTAAAAACGTCTTGGAGCACAGCTCTACTCTTTCACATATGGGGTCACCATGAGCCAGAGTACATTCTAGGAAACTTGTTAAATGTCATTAAGGCTGAGCTAGTAATCAAACTTGAGGTCCAGCGCTATTCCTACCACACTACATCAGAACTTCTGGAGGAAACCGTTGTTGTTAAGTGCCATTGGTTGTTCAACTCATAGCTACCCTGAACAGGGCTTCCAAGGAGCACTTGGTGGCTTTGAACTGTCAACCTTGTGTTTCTCAGTCCAGTGCTGATCCTACTGCGTCGCAACAGGAATCCCCTGGAGGAAACTGTTGTTGTTCAGCGCCATCAGTCAGTTCCGGCTCATGGAATCTTTCTAGAGGATGGGATTAAGTGATCCAATGTTTATTTTGGGAAATGTTGCTGTTGTTAAGTGCCATTGAGTCAGTCCCAACTCGTTGTTATTAAGTGCCATTGAGTCGATTCCAACCCATAGCGACCCTATATAGGGTTTCCAAGGAGCACCTGGTGAGCTTGAACCTCCGACGTTACAGTCTATTGCTTAGCCTACAGGATTTATTCTACAAGTGGTGGTTATAGTAATAATTATTACTGTGATAATAATAACAGCTAACGTTTATTGGGGCCATACTGTATACTAGACACTATAGGATAAGCACTGGACTGCTAACTACAAGTTGACAGTTCAAACCCACCAGTCACTCTGTGGACAGCTCTTAACAACATATTAAACTTGGGCCCTAAATATGGCACAGTAGGGTAAGCACTGGACTGCTAACCTCAAAGTCAGTAGTTCAAGCCCACCAATTGCTCTCTGTATAGAGTTCTATTCAGAGTTATTGTGAGTTGGAACTGACTTGATGGCACACAACAACAAATACTAAACGTGTTCTATATATTTAATTTTCCAAACAACCCCATCAGTTACTCACTGTAATTCTCATTTCACAGAGGAGGAAACTAAATTTACAAAGGTTGAAGGTTTTTTTTTAGTTTTTATTGTGAATTGAGTGATAGTTTATGTGAGAGAATATCAATTTTACACTCATCCTATCGTATTTCATTTCTTTGCAACGATTACAATCCCCTCTGTGCATCATCATTCAACAGTATTTGCTTCTATTCCCTCTGGGTTTTGGGGGGGTTTCTTGGATGTATATAAAAATATTCAGGAATGTATAAGATTGAGCATCTTGTCTGAGCCAGAATTCAAGTCCAGGTTTCTCTCAAGATTATTTTTACCTAAGAGCAAAGAACAAATCCTCACCCTTGAGGTGAATATTAACTGCTTTTTATGGAAGAGAAATGTAAATTTAGCAAGGTTAAAGGGCTTGCTCAAGTTCACTCAGCTTGTAAATAGCAGAGCTGGAATTTGAACTCAAATCTATCGGGTTCCAATATTCTTTTTAATATATCGTGTTTTTTCCCTGAGGAACTAATTCAGTAGAGAACAAAATAAGATATATATGCTCTGATATTTATTGCAGCATTGCCTATAATAGCAAAATAGTGGGACATTTCAAAGCTAAGTAGCCAATAAGATAGCAGTCATTACAAGTAATAATTATGAAGAAATAATGATCTCCCGTCCTATGACATTTTACTTCTGTATTACTAAGTGCCTTAGTTTCTTGTAAACATCTCAAGCTTATCATGGATATAACTGAAGAAAATGCTCCAGAGACCGTGTTGTGTGAAAAGCAGAATGCAAAATGGTACCCTAAGTGGCATGTAGGATAAGCACTGGACTGCTGACTGAAAGATTGGTGGTTCAAACCCGTGAGTCACTCCCTGGAAATCCTATACAGGGTCTCCATGAGTCAGAACTGACTCAATGGTACTTAACTACACCAACATGCTATTGTTGTAACTTCTTATGGTCATTTGTGCATGTGATGAAGATGGGCAGAAATGTATGCAGCTCCTTTTCATGACTTTTCAGGACCTGATGCCTCTCCTGTCACACAGTGAGCATTCAGTAAAGGTTTGCTGAAAGGATGGTTTTTTCCAAGACCTTGGGGTAGGGGGGCCAGGAAGGGGGATGGGAGTGGGGAGGAAGAGGATCAAATGCTGGGCAGATACTACCTCCTAGGAAGGACAGGGGAGGGGAATGATATAGGATTTCCTGGCTTAGAGGAGAGTGACACCACAGACAGGCCTAAATACTTGATGAAGGAATGAATTACCTGTGTTGGCTGGAGTCCGAGGCCTCTGTAGTCCTTAGCTGCTCTCCCCACTTCTCACTGTTTCTTTTTCCCCTTCTTCTAACTCTCAAATACACACTGTCCAGCCAGATGTGATTTCTCCCTTCTTTGAGCCCTGTGTTAACAGCCCATAATGTCTACGTTATAGTTTATGTTAATCTGCCCTGTGAGTCTGGGGAGAGTGCTACCAACATACTCTGAACCAAAAACCTCTGCCAATAAGTCACTTTCAATTCACAGTGACCTCACAGGACATTAATCCTTGGGGTTTCTAAGATTGTAAATCTTTAGAGAAACAGCCAGCCTCATCTTTCTCCTGCAGAGCGGTTGCTGGGCTCGAATCACTGACCTTCTGGTTAATAGCCCAAAGCTTAACCCACTGCAGCAGGTGAAAATCAGAATTTCAATTCCAGCTTTACAGTTTCCCTTCTTGTTAGATTATGGAAAAGATTTTAGCTGCAAGTATCCACATAGTGATGATTTCTCAAGCTTTCTACAGTCTGTGAACCAATCTCAGTGAAGAGAAAGGCTGGGAATTTGAACCACAATTTCCTGGCAGATGGGGATTTCTTTTTAGTTCTCTCACACCCAAACAGGGGGAAATGTGTGTATGTTTTTTAAAAAACTGAAGGCTTCTTACTTTTTGCAGGTCTTTAGAAATGCGATTATCTGTCACCCCCCATTTCATAAATATAACTATGATATAGAGAGGACCAAGAAATTATGCCCACTAGTCAGCTCACAGAAGAATTTATAAAGAAAATTCATGAAGTATAAGATCTGCATCCCTTAGGTTAATTAAGTTGAAAACAACATGTTGAAACTTAGACCATCTTTGCTCAATGTCAAAAGTAGAGCTCAGGAGGGTTTTCCATAACTTTGCTAATTCTGATAGATTGATATTAGTGTCTTTGAACTGCTGCTCAGCTTCAAGGGGGAACTGTATATATTAAAGCTGTGAAGTGATCAGCAGCTAGTAAAAACTTGTACATCCTGCAGAGATTATAAACCAGATATCAGATATACACACCTCTTGTTTCTCTCCTAGGCTTTCTTCTTACGCTCTACCAACCTGTGAAATTTGCTTCTAGCTAAGACTTTGAGTAAACATCCCTTATTTATAGTGTACTTTCTATGTGCCAGACATTGGTGACCCTAGAGATACTGCAGAACACAAAACAGATTGTGTCCCTATGCTTGTGTCTGTGAAAACTATTGGTTGGTGGTGGCTGTAGATGTAGATGGTAGATGTAACTAACTCCTTTGTGGCTTCAGGAAGGGGCCATGAGAACAAATACTTGGACAGTGCAGGAATGCCTTATATAAAATGAGAATGTTTTGATTCTATAACCAAACCAATATCCTATTGCCATCAAGTCGATTCTGGCTCATAGAACCCTATGTAGGATTTTTCAAGGTTGTAAACGAGCTCTGGTAGCATAGTGATTACGAATCAGGTTGCTAACCTCAGGGTCAGCAGTTCGAAACTACCAGCTGTTCCGCGGGATAAAGATGAGACTTTCTGCTCCTGTGAAGATTTACAGCCTCGGAAACCCTGTACAGGGTCGCTATGAGTCGGAACCAACGCCACGGCACATAACAACAACAACAAATCGACAGGAACAGAAAACCTC